GATGGGGATGTATATTGATAGTTTCCAATCTGTTGGCCATTGTTTTGTTTCCCATATCTGTCGACATATGTTGGTTTGCACTAGAGTTGACTCTGTCAATGTGTACTGCAGCAGTTCAACTGAAATATATTTCATCTATTCCTGGTGATTTGTTTTTTTGCCATTTCTCTTATTGCAGCTTCCACATCACTTTTTAGAATTTGGGGTTCATCTTCATATGACTCTTGATCCCATGTGTCCTTCATTTTGTCATCTCTTTTATATAGCTCTTTTGTGTAATGCATCCAACATCTTTTTATTCCTTCCTGGTCTTGAATTATGTTATTTTTATTGTCATAGAGCATCCTAGTCCTTGATTTGAATTTTGTGGAATAGATCTTCCCTTTTTGTTGTTGCCTTCTATTTCTCTGCACTGAGTTATGTTAATACAAGTGCATTTATTTATTTGTGTGCCTTCAAATCATTTCTGATTAATGGCAACCCTAAGGCCACAGGGTTTTCTTGGCATAATTTGTTCAGAGGAGATTTACCACTGTATTCTTCTAAGGCTACCAAACAGCCCAAGGCTACCAAACAGCTTTCGATGCCGAGCAGGGATTTGAGCTCTTGTTCGTCAAAGCCATAGTCCAATGTTCACACAACAACACCATGCTGGCCCTCAAGAGATCTCTACCTTGCTTTATACAGAAAGATTTTTCAAAGCAGGGTGCAGCAAATATAACAGCTCTATAATAATTTTAAAAACATTAAAACAGTTTAAAGTGATTCAGCATAATCAAAATATAACTCAGAATCCAAGAGTCCCAAGCTAACATGATCAGTAGGGTTCTTAGATCTCAGGTATTGCCCTCTGTTTCATAGACCTCAAGTCAAAGGGAGAAATCTCAGGGGAAGAGCATTGTCTTGAAAAGAATATTGGCTTTTGCTTGTTTTTTACTGTGTGATGCTATCTTGTGGAGGCTCTTTCAGACTTTGCCTGGCTTCTACCTCTGCACCTTTGTTAGCCATTCAACATTTGCCAAACTTGACCAGCACCAGTCTAGGGTTCAACTTGATGGGACAGCAAGCATAGAGTTGTCTTCAGTATTTGCTACCTGAGGAGTAGCTGCCTTACAGTACTACAGAATTCTGGCTTTCCAGATCTTACTGTTAACTTTCCCTATTCTGTTCCCACTTTCCTCAGCCCATCCTTGATGGATAAGACTCAGTACGGTTTTCTTTATTGGTGTGAGGTGCACTTGTGTTTTACCAGTGCTGGCAAAAAGCATTGTAAGAACATTTTTCTTTTTCTGATTTGCTTAGGCAATTGATTGTCTTTCTTTTAATTTTTCATTCCCTCTCTCTTTCTTCCCTTCTTATCCTCTTTCATCTTCTCCCTTGCACCCTACAACTAAATGCATTCTATTCTTAATCTGTCGTTCTCTTGTCTTCTTTTTCTTTCCCCTGTCGACACTCCTGCTTTCTCTCATTCCCTTGTTCCCCTTTTCCTCTATTACCTCCCTCTCAGCTCCCAACTTTCCCACCCAACCCTGTTTTGTCTCTTTCTCCTTCATCCAATTCTTTTATTCCCACTCCTCTCCTTCACCT